ACATGAATATCAATGTAGCTCCGTTTGTTTGGAATCATAATGAAGGCTGTGTGCAGAGGTGTGACAGTGCTGACCTTTAAAATCCAGGTTGGCTGAAAACGCACAGAGGCTAAGGTGATATAAAAAGAGGAAAAAAATTACAATAAGTTGTAAAGGGAAATGGAGAAAAGGTTAGAGAGATATGGTTTTACCTCTGGGCTTCCCGAAGGAGCCATTGTTTCAGAACAGTTCAATATTTTAGGAAACCTCATCTCTAAGCCTTATATTTGGACATGAAATGAAATACTTTCAGCCGATGCCTTCATCTGGAGTCACACCAGCGTGGTCCACACGGTGATATACCACAGTCTTTACACTGTATGTCCTTCCTGGTGCAACACTGGATTTACTGCATGAAAAACAGAGCGCCACCAATCATGGACTATAACTGAGGCATGGAACTGAATAGAAACAATTATTCTCCAGACCAAGTATCTACAGACTATATATATATATATAGACCCATTCAACATGAATCACTTTATTCAATTTCGTCAAAGGATGAATGTTCATCCCGGTGGTGTTTCTTTTAAAATTTTTGGATGAAAATGAGTTCCCCAGTCTGGGATGACTAACGTTCTTATTATTTTTTTTTTATCAGGCTGGTCACACTATCATCTGTTGTTCATGCATCAGTTGAAGCTGTTTAGGATTGACATCAGGATCACAAACCTTTACAGGTAAACCATCAAGAGCAACCTGGCCAGAAACATCACAACCCGTTGCTGCAGCTGCCATATCAACCACAGATGGAGACTGTGTGGAGGGCCCTTAAATCTGCCCAGAATTGTAACATTTTTTTCTTTTACTTTCAGCTGAATGTACACATCAACAGGTCACTTTAGATTTTATTCCTTGCATCCCTTTTATTCACCGTAGGGTGTAAGTGACCTCTCATAACTGTAGGGCTGCACTTAGCCTCCAGCAACCTCCTCCTTCTTCATGACTTCTCCACATGTGCAAGGACAGCCTTGGCTTAAAGGACTAACCATCAACAACACGTGATGACAAATGTGGCCATCACACAACAATCAGCAGTGGCTTATGTCCATCTAGGCCACGGGTTGGAGGATGAGGTGATGGCTACTGACGTGACACAGAAACAGTGCAGAGCTGCAGCTTGAGCCCAGACAACGCTGCAGGACATACACATGTGTGGCGTGGTCGTCAGGACGAGGGTAAGAGCAGTCATCTGTCACTT